CGTGTGGACTGCCAATGGTGCTGCTGTCGTCAATGCCTCCTCCGGTCATCTTCAGAGCCTTCGAGCCACTAAACCGTCCGATAAATTCTATCCTCTTTGCGGCTGTAAGTAACATGTGCTCATGCAGTGCGTCATGGTCTGCAGTAAGAAACACATTCTGCATTGAATGGCCACTCAGTCACAAACATGTACCGTACTTTACCGTTTTAAGTCGACCCCGGTTATAAGTCGCCCTCCAAACTCGGGGCCTCGGTTTACCGGTTTAAGGGCAGTTACACCCCGGTTGCAAGTCGACAACCCCTTTTTAGGTCAATAAAAGGTCGATTTACTGTAAATCGTAAGGAAAAAATTGGAGGTGCATCCAATTTCGAAAGAAAAGGTGTCAGCACCGACGCAATCCACACAGTCAAGTAAGCCAATTTGTTAACCGGACGTTTTTGTTCCCTTCTCATCATGGGTAAGTCACAGGGAATAATGGAAAAATGTCAAAATACAGCAATTTATAGAGCTACAGCAAACGCATAGATCGATAACCTCATTCTGTACGTGTGGGGAAAAATTTCATTCAGCAGAACAGGTCAAACACAGGTGTAAATCAATAAAATGTGATACTTGGTGTGTGGTAAACATTCATGCATTACACCGTGCAATACATGTATACTCCGTCGCGGACAGCTGGCCAGCAGCCGCCGCGGTGACTTCAACAAGGGGAGAGAGACCTGGTTTGTTTGTATTTCGCTCGCCATATAAAGATATCTGACAAGAAGAAGAAACTACCGAGAGATAGGACACGAACCACTAAAACGGAATGCTCCGAAAATGCTTCGCTCGCGCACGCGCGCCCGCCGGCATACGCATGCCGTGCCAGCGTGCTGTGTGCAACACTGAAAAACCAAAAAATAGATTCATGGATTGTGATGCGTGCAAAAGCCAGCCAGTTTGAGACGGGCATCGTAGCGATCGTGTATCCACGCTATGATGGCGGGCTGCCTGGAGCACTGCCAGTGCAGCATGCGAAAAAGGAAAATAAACAAATCAGAAAATGAAGTTCAAATAAATTGACCATTCGATCGAAGAGATCAAGTTGCAACCATGAAATTCATTTCAGAACAAGATAGGCAGAGCGAAGCTAGTTATGTGTCAAGCTATCTTGCTACAGATAATTACTACACCTATAACTTAGCTATGGGCAGCGGACCTGGACCCTATCGCTCCTGGGATATACCTTAGGTAAGAGTGCGACGTAAACACGAATAATTATTGTAAATGCTGTAAAATTGACTCGTAACATGTATTCAATCTCCCACAAATTCACAGTCATTCGCACATAGTGCGACACAGTGCATTTAAACTCACGGCTATTTTCCGCCTGGCCTGGTGTTCCGAGGCCTAGACTTTGTTGCCGCTGAAAAAATGTCGGTTGGGAAGTTTCAGTGTGATAGTGTTAGTAGGGAGCAGCAGTACAGGCTGGGATTATCATGTGGCCGAAATGTGTTTAGCCCCTCAAAGACTGAAACTTAAAGGGGAAGTTAAGGCAAAAATCAAAATTTCACCAGTTGTAGTCTTCGGGGTGCTGAGTCGAATGGTCTTGGTCCGAGGAAGCTGAGACGCTCCCTTCCTACTTGAATCCCAATCGAACTCACGCACTTCCACCAAAACTGGGTGACTGCGCCCTACGAGATGGGGATTTGTATGCAAAATGTCACTAAAAGCACCATTTCGTTCTTATAAAAGCACGGATGACCGCGATTGGCCCATATGTTGTAGTCTTTTGGACGCTGAGTCGATTGGTTTTGGTCCGAAAAGGCTGCGATGCAGGGTTCCTCCTTTATTCCCAATCGAACATGGTTGAACAAGCGGTCACGTGCTCCTGCGTATACCAGTCAGCTGGTCACCGTGCCTGCAGGGTACAACTTACTAGCCTGTTTGACCTTTTTTGGGTGCAGTCCTGTCACTCGAGTTGAACTCGAGTTGAACCTTGGTGTGAAAGTTGTCGCCTGCTGGCGTGGTGACCAGGTGATTTGGGCACCCAGGAGCACGTGACCGCTTCTTCAACCATGTTCGATTGGGAATAAAGGAGGAACGCTGCATCGCAGCCTTTTCGGACCAAAACCAGTCGACTCAGCGTCCAAAAGACTACAACATACGGGCCAATCGCAGTCATCCGTGCTTTTATAAGAACGAAATGGTGCTTTTAGTGACATTTTGCATACAAATCCCCATCTAGTAGGGCGGAGTCACCCAGTTTCGGTGGAAGTGCGCGAGTTCGATTGGGATTCAAGTAGGATGGGAGCGTCTCAGCTTCCTCGGACCAAGACCATTCGACTCAGCACCCCGAAGACTACAACTGGTGAAATTTTAATGTTTGCCTTAACTTCCCCTTTAACCATGCTGAATAATTTGTACACTTACAGTATAGTGGACAATCTAGCATGCCCTACCCGGTCCGCTACTCCGGAGAGAAAGTTATTTTCTTTTTCCAACGTACCAATGCAGTGGTGACATCTGATGACCATCACGAGAAAAGGTTCTTGGAGCACCTACCCACCAGCGTTCGTATACGATGTTTCATGGCAGTGCAGTATTGTCGGGCACCGGTGAACAGAGCGCCAAAGAATGGCCAGGCTAGAATTTCACCATTTTTTAAGACGGTCCAGGCTGGATTTTTGCAGATAAGAACGAAAACTATAATGTACACTATAATGTACAATCGGAAGTATAACTCTGCATAATTATAGGTTTGGATGACACATTTCCGTAGTTTCAAAAGTCTCAACATGTGAACTGGCAGGTGTGCATATGCGCCACCATGTAACAGTCCTCTACTGGTTCATGTACAGGCATGTACAGTCCACATGATTGTAAACCTTTGTACATTCAATGACATGCACATGACTGCATGACTGTACCATCGAATAAGAACGAAGTGGCTGTGTTCGCGAAAATAAGAACGGCCTAAGCTGGAACCCTGACGACAGAATGATAATGACTTTGCCGATTGTTTTGTTTCACTTTCTCTCCCTCCCTTTCCCTCCCTCCCTCTCCCCCCCTCTCTCTCTCTCTCTCTCTCTCTCTCTCTCTCTCTCTCTCTCTCTCTCTCTCTCTCTCTCTCTCTCTCTCTCTCTCTCTCTCTCTCTCCAACAGCAACACCACCGGCCACTTCAGTATCATCTGCCACTTCAGCATCATCTGCCACTACAGTATCATCTGCCACTACAGTATCATCTGCCACTACAGCAGCTACAACTGTTACAAAAGGAGGTGCTGTTCTACCTGAAACACAGTCCGATAGCACAACGGCATCACCAACAACGACCGGAACGGTATCCACAAGCGGAGCGGTTACCACCAGTAAGTAGAGGGATCTGTGTCTGCAGGTTTATAATGTATGTATCTTTCTTTCTTTTTAAATCTTTTCTCTGACTGCATATTATCTTGTTACAGCCGGTGGCAGTTGATTCATAACTTGTTCTCATGTGTTCTTTTCACATTTCAATTTATTATTGGCTCAGTATACGAGTTAATCTTGTTTCTTCATTTAGAGAAGTTTGAATTTTCGCACTGTGGCACACAAACATGGCCTCTGAGGCATCACCGGGCACCACCTGTGACAAATCAAATTGTCAGCCTGCTGGCGGTAGAGAGGAAGATGCAAGTGAGGCGGTACACAACAGCCGTCCGTCTCGTGTCACGCACAGCCCAACCGACTATCTATGCCAATACTGGCCAGAAACCAGCTTCGTTCCCTGGTAACAAACCCCTTCAGCATTCGCAACAAGATTGGTGAACTCCAGCATGCCCTAACCAGCCCGCAGGTGGATGTTACTCTTATTACTGCACCCGCTGCTGCTGCCACTGCAGCTACTGCTTCTGTTGTTACCGCATCTACTGCTCCTGCTGTTGGCGCTGCTGCTGCAGCAGCTGTTTCGGCTGCTGTTGACAGTTCACTATGCCATCGGTTGTACCGCACAATTGCCTTTGAGGATGGCCAGCATAATATGGTATTATTATGTGGCAAATGGGCTGTAAGGTCCTGGTGTCGGAAAGAAACTCCCTAAACGACCATCCACCCAAGTCTTCACTCTACACTACCACGAACATTCAACTGGGTATGTTTGGCTTGTGCGGTGTATTTGTTTGGACTTTCAGATGATTCCTTCATCCCCGCCCCGAGAGGTAGCCAGTCGGTTAGCACCCTGACCAGTGTGTTCATTGGTGTAGGAGTGTGTGCTGCATTCTTGATCGCCATGGCGCTGGTCGTCTGGAGGATTCGACAGGGGAAATCCCCTGGCTTTAACATCAAGACCCTACGTGAGTACGAATATGCTCTGGGGTTTTTTATTTTATTTTTTATTCTCACGATGGCACCATCACTAATAAGAGATACGTTTATGAGAAGGTGAGATGTTGTGGGTGGGGCTGGGGGTTGTGCAGTTAAAAAAAGAAAAGAAAAAAAGCTGGAAAGCAATTTACATCACTTTGAATTATACAAGTATGGGAGAGGGTGAGCGCTGCAGGAGCAGATTGAGTTAATCAGCAGTGGGTAGATTTATTGATTGAAAGCAGGTCGGGAGCTGGTCTGTCTGTATGTTATTC